GGGATTTTACAGATCAGACATCTGAAGGTCAGTTATGTAACTTGCTCAAAGTCACAAAGGTAGTGAGTGATAAAATCAGATCTGTCAGACTCTAAAACTTGTGTTCTTTTCATTTTGTCTTCTATCTCTAAAATTAATAATCAGTATAAAGACCACAAGTGGTTAAGATCCAGAAAGTCAAGCTATGTCCCATTCAGCTGTACCCATGTGTGTGACCTTGGACTAATCAGTTACTCTCACTGAGTGTCAGTTTCCTCACCTACAAGATGGCAAGAATAATATACCTCCTTTGTAGCATTGTTATGAGTAAAATAATGAGATAATCGATATAAATAACTTAAGATGATAAGCACTCAAATAATTTTGGTTATTTCTCTTGTCATTCATACCACCATCACCTCCTGCGATCTCTGCCAGGTTCTGTGCTAAACAATTTATGTCCATTATCATTTCAGTGGCTCTGCAAGGCAGGGGTTAGATCCTCCCTTGCACAAGGGAAATAGGCTCAGAGCAGTTAAGGATCTTGCCCAAAGAGTTCTAAAGCTTGTCTAGTTCCAAAGCCTGTTTGCTTTCTACCCATATAATGACTACAAATTTTTATCCTATATAGTTTTTGTGATGGTGAGGTCAGTGTAGCTGTAGTTGTTGCCCACTGAGTAAGCAGAACCAGGACTCAGCCCAGGTCTGTTTGACTGCAGAGGCCCAGCCCACCTGACCACTCTGCTGCAAGACTTTGGGGAAACAGTAGCCTGGTATTTATAGGTCTGCTAATTCCACCTATAGGAAGCTTGAAATTGGGGATACTTGGAAGAGTTATCCAGAGTTGTATTTTTATTTTACAGTCTTATTCTCCAATAGTTTCTAGAAGGCTTAAAGTCTTTTATTTTTCTTTTCTTTTTAAAATTTTTTATTAATTTATTTTTGTTACAAATATTTCTCCTTTTTTCCCCATTGACACCGTCCTCCCCAATTAAAGTCTTCTTAATAACTTCTTTCTAAGGCATTCCTCACTAAGTCAGAATTAGTTTATAAGTTTGGGCAGAATTAACAAGGGACTTAGGGCATAGAACACCCCCCTTTTGTGTTAATTTGGAAAGTCCCTGTGAAATGAGTAGATTGTTCAGCCACATGGTAGAGCTCCAAAAATCCATTTCTGATAGATTATATAAGCTTACCCTTCCATCCTTCAGCAGGCTCATTTGTACGGTGATTCGTCCCAAAAGAATTAAGGGAACTTCATTTGATTTTCTTGACATTATCTCTTCCAACCAAAAGAGGATTGGAATAACGAATAAAATGGTGAATAATTCAGATTCTCATTAGAATTCCAACTGGAACTTTTAGTCTAGAAGCAGAATTCTTGGCCTGGCTAGAAGGTGGCCAGGCAATAAGCAGCTTTTAAACGACTTGCATGTGTTCAAGTTTCAGAGTTAAATGAACAACAGTGATTTGGGGAAAGATTACCCAGACTTTTTGATGAAAGTTCATGTCATCTGCTCTAACTTAGTCTGATTTGCAAAGGTACCCTTGCACTTCAGAAAGCATGTGTCAGGATAGTGGTGATAGTCCGTACCTGGCACTTTGCACCCTGCTGCGTGCTCACTTACACACATTGCACTTGAACCTGAGAACAGCCCTATCAGAGCTCTTCAGTGGTAGGGCCTGGCTCCCAGTGAAGGGAACTGGCCCTCAAGACTGTAACACTCCCCATGGTGACAATCTCCTTCTAGAACATATGCTAGTATGCTCAGACAGCTTTTTCTCTTAGATGAAACAGCCAATTAAATGAAATTCTCATGCTCTCATGTCTCTTCCTGCTCGGCTGTGTATAAACACGATTTTTCACGCATCTGTCTAAATCCACGGTCCTTCTTCACAACTTACTCTTCTGTGTTTCTCCAGCATTTACTACAGTTTTTTAGGAAAAAGCAAATACTCACGTTTTTGGTGACAGTTGAAATTAGACTTATTTGTTCCCATTGTAGTTAGAGAGGATCTCATTCTCAATAACTCTTTAGGAAAACAGAGAAAAACCCAGGGGCAATTAGGGGTAGAGTCTGAATTCACTTCACATGTTCTTAGGTAGGGATTCCTGAATGTACTGTACTGGAGGCCTGAGGCAGAAGGGTTCTAAGAGGCACCATTATTTGTTGAAATCCATACTTGCCGGTTTGGGGGCACTGGCCTCTGTAGTGAAGATTGGCTAGAAAAGATGCGCTGGACAAAGAATGACTGCCGACGAAGTGGCAGGTGCAGGTGCTGACAACCTCAGCCCCAGATTCCTGTCCCAGCCCCTCTCCTGCTTAACTGTGTGGCAGGTCAGGAACTCTCTCACTGGGGAGTGGTCACCCTGTTTGCTATGTTGAGTTGACCCGTGGCTTAGAGATAAGCATGTAAAGTACCAGGCAGATGCAAACACTCATCTATAGGAACAATGTTTACGTCAATGATAATGATAAACAGGCAGGTTGTAACCTAGGAGCAGCCAGGGTTCTGCTTTGTTTGGGGAACAAAGTAAAGGGGGGAGAAAGCGTCTTAGAGGCTGTGGTTCTTGAGCTCAACAACAACCATAGCTTCTCTCTTCCTCCCCTGCAGATACCCAGAAAGAGACTGGGGACATGTGTAGCACTAGTACTTAGTTTAGGGAAGCCAACTCCTCTGGAAGCCAGGAGACCCTTGTTGTTTTTGCTTTAGGTCCCCTTCTTCCCTTACTCTCTCGCCCCAGTTGAACTCAGCTATGTAGTGATGTAGTGTATTTTGTTGAAAATTCAGTCCCCTAGGGAAAATATGATAATGCTGTTTTCAGACAGCTGTGTTTGGGAGCAAGATGGACTGAACCAGCTGGTTGGCATCATTGGAGACCAAGGACCTGCCAACCCATGGAGAGCAGCTGTTTTGGCCGAAATTCTTATCATTCTTATGACTCTGCTTCCTATATTATCAGCTTCTGTGTGCTTCTTTTTTTTTTTTAATCCTCACCCGAGGATATTTTTCCATTTTTTTGCACAGACAGCGTGGGAGGGAGAGAGAGGAAGGGGGAGAGAGAGAGAGAGAAACATCGATGTGAAGGGACACATCGAGTGGCCGCCACCCGCACGACCAACCAGGGCCGGGGACAAACCGTAACCGAAGTACGTGCCCTTAGCGGGAACCGAACCCGGGTCTCTCCAGACCGCAGGCCGATGCTCTAACCGCTGAGCCAAACTGGCCAGGGCCTGTGTTCTTCTTTTAAATACACACACAAAGGAGAGAGCCATGAGAAAGCCTCTGGTGTGTCTAGGGCCACCCATAGTTGAAGGGAATGGGCTGTCACCACCATCCTCTTGTTACTTATGATTGTTAGAAAAGAGAAAATCTAGAAGGAGGCTAGCTAGCTCCAAAGAGTAAGAGACAATAATGAGTGGATCAGTAAATATTAATATCTTAATATAATGGAGGTATTAGAAGATTTTTTAATGAAGGAGGGAATGTTACAATATAATGTTAAACAAAATGTATAGGATACAAAACTAGATACAGAATATAATCATGCCCGCCCAATGTAGCTCAGTGGATTGAGCATCATTACATGGACTGAGAGGTCCCAGTTTGATTCCAGATCAGGGCACATGCCAGGGTCGAGGGCTCGATCCCCAGTACGGGGCATGCAGGAGGCGGCCAATGGATGTTTCTTTCTCTCTCTAAAAAAATCAATAAAAACATATTTTAAAAAAAGAATACAGTCATAATTATGGAAAAGTGTTCTTTACCATTAAGTTAGATAACCGATACAAAGCACTTAATTTGGTGCCTGGCGGGGCAAAGCTAAGCAATCACAGCTACTAGATGCAAACTCTAATCACAGTAACAAGTTTGCCTCCTTCACTGTTATCCCCGGAGTGCCTGGTATAAAGTAGATGCTCAAAAGGTCTTTCTTGATTGTATGAATTAGTGTTGTTATTATTATATGCATATAAAAATGAATCTAGAAAATCTAAGGACACAGGTTTCTGTGTGATCATCTGTAATTACATCTGTGATTGTGGCAGCATAACCTCTCTGCCTTGGTTCTTCATTATAAATGGTGAGGATAGCACCTGTTCCTCAAGGTCACTGGGCACTGAGTGAGCCACATGTAAAACACTTGCAGGGAACCAGCATTGAGCAGTGGCTACTGTAATCACGGTGAGTACAAATAAAGTGGTGTCTACTATAATAATTCTACTGTCTCTGTCTAGAAAAACAGATGAGAGTTGTCATGATTTATCTATCATTTTCTTTTCATTTTTTTACCTTGGACTTTTTTTTTTAATGCAAGCTTAAAAGTTTATAAGAAAAAACTCAAAGGCTGATAGTGGTTATCTTAGAATTGGGAGAATTTTTCTGTTTTCTTCTTGATGCTTTTTTCCAAATTGCCTGTAATATTTATGTGTTACTTTTATCATCAAAGGGAAAAAAATCCCAACTCCCCCCGCCCTTATAAATAAGTAAAAAAACCTGCTCAGCATCAAAGATAACACAGAGCTGCAGAACTAGAAAGGATGCCCCTCTGAAGATGGCTGGGGACTGGGAAATCGTGCCCTGCTCTGGACTTCCTTTTAAATGCATGTTTCACCTTCTAAGAACGTTGTGAAACAGTCACTAAGAACTGGGAAAGGAACCAGTGAGGGAAAGTTAAAGGATTTTGATTAATTGGTTCTGGACAAAGGTGGTCACCAAACTTGAAGTCTTATTAACAGTCAATCGCTTAGATTTAGCACAGCTGCTTTCCATTTCCCCCAGAGAGAAGAACGAAAAGAAGATCCATGGGGACTGTAGAAATGGAAGTAAATGGTTACCAAATTCTGCGATACACTTCGAACAAGAAGGTTTAATGTGGTTCTTAGAGACATTTAAAATAAAGTCCTGAGCAAACACTGGTGGTCTTTTCAACGTTTCTTGCTGATCCTTAGACATCATCACGCCTCCGGCTGTACTGGTTCACGGCAGCATATAACCGGTCTATGAAATTTTACTTGCAGATATTTAACACTGTGCCTGATATGCCTCTCACCAATGCCCAGCTGCACCTGTCTCGGAAGAAGAGCAGTGACTCCAAGCCCCCGTCCTGCAGTGAGCGGCCCCTGACGCTGTTCCACGCCATGCAGTCCACAGAGAAACGTGAGTCTGCTCAGGGCCAGCGCGGTTTCCAGAGACAGACCCTGCGGCCTGTGGCCTTCTCAGGAGCCACACCTCCAGCCTCTCTCTGTGGGCTGCTGCTCTCTGTGTCCTTGAGGACTGTGCAGCACGGTGCTGTCCCAGGAGCCGTGGCTGTGTAACCCTAATAGGAAAGAAAGCAGTATTGCTGAGAAGGAAAGGCCAGGGCCACTCGCTGTTCAGATTCTCTTTCCAGATCTCCTGTGGGCAAACAGCTGAGCCTGTTTTCCTCCTGCAAGATAAGAGCTCAGCTCAGCCCTGGCCAGTTTGGCTCAGCGGTTAGAGCGTCGGCCTGCGGTCCGGAGAGACCCGGGTTCGGTTCCCGCTAAGGGCACGTACTTCGGTTGCAGTTTGTCCCCGGCCCTGGTTGGTCGTGCGGGTGGCAGCCACTCGATGTGTCCCTTCACGTCGATGTTTCTCTCTCTCTCTCTGTTCCTCTCTCTCCTTCCCACTCTATCTGTACAAAAAATGGAAAAAAATCCTCGGGTGAGGATAAAAAAAAAAAAAAAAAAAAAAAAAAAAAAAAGAGCTCAGCTCAGACACCGCTTCTTCGGTCCCCCTTTTGTTAGCAGCTCCCAATGAACAGTTTTTTTTTCCTTTTCTCAGTTTGTAAGTAGATGCTTATTAGTGCGAGCCACATGCCCCACTAGAATGTGACTCTGTGAGGGCAGGGCCTTGTTTTGCTCACCCTTCCACTCCACCTCTCACAGGGCCTGGCGTGGACTGGGCACTGAATAAATATGTGAAATTCATTCATTCACTCATTAGAGAATAAGACTGTCTTTGTTCCATATAGCAGAGTGTAATCATCACGATTGTTTCAAAATTTTTTTCATCTCAGGATTTCTGAATTCTTCTTATCGATCAGGTTACCATGCCCTAAAATTTCTGGTCTTGTTTAGCATTTGTAATGAGAGAGGTGAATACACACCTGGGTTCCCGTGCCAGCAGCAGCACACAGGCAAGCCTTTTCCCTTCTCTCAGCCTCGGTTTGCTCATCCGTACAGCAGGGATCATAGTACCTACCTCATAGGGAAGTTGTGAGGTTTAAATGAAGTTATGCATTACGCATCTGAAACAAGGAATGTAAGTAGCTCACAGCTGAGCAAGGGAGCACACAAGTGAATAGATAATGGCAAGTCGTCACATAGCTGCTCTTGTAGAAATATGTGCCTTCAGTGAGGCAGTAGAACATGCTGTTAGGAAGACACATGGTGCCACCCTGGTCTGTGTAGCTCAGTAGTTGAGCTTCATCCCATGTACGTAAGCTTCTTGGGTTCAATTCCCAGTTAGGAGGCATGCAGGAGGCAACCAATTGATGTTTCTCACGTCAATGTGTCCCTCTCTATCAAATCAATATAAACGTGTTTTAAAAGAAAGAAAGATACATGGCGCCAGATTGCCTAGGTGAGAGCTCACTGCCCGGTGTGACTGGGAAAGTTTCTAACATCTCAGGGCCTCAGCCTCCCCTTCTGGAAAATAGGGTTGATAACAGTTAGTTCATCACAGGGTTGTCATTAGGGTTAAAGCACTTCAGAAAGTGCCTGGTGCAGAGTAAGTGCTCAGTAAATGCTGGGAAGGGTATTATTATTAAAATGACGACCACCACTACCACCCCCACCATTTCTGCCAATACTGCTGCTCTTTATGGAGTACAATAAAGACACAGAGGATCATAGTGACCCACTTTGCCTTGAAGAGAAGAGGCTCCTTATCAGGATTGGTATCTTTCTCTTTCTTTATTAGAAAATGAGTTTTAGCCTGGCTGGTGTTGCTCAGTGGATTGAGCATTGTCCCACGGACTGAGAAGTCCTGGTTGGATTCCCAGTCCAGTACATGTCTGGATTGTGGGCCCGATTCCCAGTCGGGGCGTGCAGGAGGCAGCCGATCGATGTTTCTCTCTCACATCGATGTTTCTATCTCTCTCTCTTCCTCTCTCTCTAAAAAATAAATTAAAGCATTTTTTTAAATGAGTTTTAGCCCAGCTGGTGTGGCTCACTGGTTGAGCGTCAAACCATGCACCAAGAGGTCGCCAGTTCCATTCCCGGTCAGGGCACATGCCCAGGTTGTGGGCCGATCCCCATTGGGGGCATGCAGGAAGCAGCCAATTGATGTTTCTGTCTTTCTCTCCCTCTCCCTTCCTGTCTGTCTAAAATCAATAAAGAAAAAATATTAATTAAAAAATGAGTTTTAGCCTCTTGCATTTAAAAAGGAATAGCTTTCCTTGTCATAACTCTTGAAAATTAATCTTCCCCACCCCCAGAATATCAGGCATTTAAAGATGTCATAGTATCCCATAATATGGCTGCACCTTGGTGTATTTAGCACCATTTGGTATATTTTGCATTTATTAGTAAAGCTACTCCTATGATCTTTGTAGCTAAATCTATTCATAGTCATGATCATTTGCTTAAGATAAATTCCTGGGAAGATTTCTAGGTCAGTGTATATGTACAATGTTAGGGCTTTGACCCTGTACCCAGATTGGCTTCCTTTTGGACAATAACCTGTGTTCCTCTTGAAAATCGGGCTTGGGTCATTCTCACTGTGGTGTCCATGTGGCCTGGGCCCCTCCACATGTACCAGCAAATACTTGGAACAGGCTTGGCCACACCCACACCTGCCACGAACAAGACATCGGGCTGTGGATTGATGTGCTTCTCAGGTTTCCAGGAGAGTCACGGTCACCTAACGTTTTGTACAAACGTGTACAGTGCAGATTGGGACAGATCAGACAGTACTGCTAAATTCTTCTAAGTGTAAAATAGTGCTGAGCTTATGATTAGCCCGAAGCAGAGGCAGCCTTGGAACAGGTCTAGAAGCATATTCTGGGAGCATGTAAGAAAGAAGACGGGGATTAGGAGAAAATCAATTAGATCTTTGCCCAAGATTAACTTTATCACACAGGCAGGGGACGAAAGTTAAGAATGTGTGAAAGCAGACCTGCCTAAGCTGTGGAACAAGCTCTGTCCCTGTCTGCAGATGGTGGAAGGGAGGATGGGAGATGGGAAGAGGGTGAAGCAATACCTCTTTCCTCCAAATGTTAATAAATGCCAACTGAAATCTCCACATGCTCGAATGTTTCTGGGGTGCTTAGCTTTTTTCCCCGAGAAAAAAGCATTTCAAAAGAAGCATTTTCATTGAAAAGTAGATAGATATGTGTAGGTGAATATACTTTTTTTAAAACTTTGTTGTTGAATATATTACAGATATCCCTCTTCCCTCCCTTCCCCCCTTTGACCCCTCCTCCTCAATCCTACCCCTCCTCCTGCTTTCCCCACACTATTGTCTGTGTCTATTGGTTATGCATATATGCATATAAGTTCTTTGATTTTTCTCTTCCTACCCCACCTCCCCTCTTCCCTTTGAAGTTCATCAGTCTAACAACCAATTTGTACTTCCTAATCCCTTCATCTTTTCCACCAAACTCCCCTCCCATCTGGCAACCAACAAAAAGTTCTCTGTATCTATGAGTCTGTTTCTGTTCTGCTTGCTCATTTTGTTTGTAAATTCAGTTGTTGATAGATATGTATTTATTGCCAATTTATTGTTCATATTTTTTTATCTTCTTCAAGAAGACCCTTCAACATTTCATATAATACTGGTTTGGTAGTGATGAACTGCTCTAGGTTTTTCTTATCTGGGAAACTCTTTATATGGCCATCGATTATAAATGATAGCTTTGCAGGATAGAGTAACCTTGGTTGTAGGTCCTTGCTTCTCATCACTTAAATGTTTCTTGCCACTCCTTCCTGGTCTGCAATGTTTCTTTTGAGAAATCGGCTAACAGCCTTATGGGAGCTCCGTTGTAGGTAACTAACTGCTTTTCTCCTACTGCTTTTAAGATTTTATCCTTGTCTTTAACCTTTTGCATTTTGATGATGATGATGTGTCTTGCTGTGGACCTCTTTGTGTTCATCTTGTTTGGAACTCTCTGTGCTACCTGGACTCGTATGTCTGTTTCCTTCACCAAGTTAAGGAAATTTTCTGTCATTATTTTTTCAAATAGGTTTTCAAATTAGAAGGAGAAGAGAGAGAGTGAATATACTTTTTAATAATCTGTTTCAGAAACCCCTTTTTTTTTCTAGGAAACTAGAATGATATCCAAGCTGGCTTAGAAAGCACCATAGAAGGTGTGGGTGAGTTGATGCTGTGAGGAAGGCTGGACCAGGAGCTGGGAGGTTCTATTGGCACTCGCCCCACCCATCAGTGTTAGATGAGCAGGTGACAGTGCACCCTAAAGTCTTCACACACCTTACTCTTCCCTTTGTCTGGTCTATGGACAAAGATAGAAGACTGCTTTATCAAAGCACTTTGCCGAGTTTACTCTTTGGAATTAAAATGTAGATAAAGATCCTGCAGCTGATTTGTAGGGAAAATTGTATTTTCTTAATGTGTATTATAATACATACTAATAATTTTATAGTCAATGCTAATGATGTTTTTCAGTATGAGGCCTCTTTCTATACCTAACTCTGTACTTCCCAAACTTGAATCATTTGCATAAACCTTCATTTACTCTTTGGGCCATAACCACACAATTCATACACTCTTGTTTGTTTAATATATGTCCTTAAATTGATTTTAAAGCAACTAACTTCTTTACATGGCCTATTCCTACTCCGTAAAATCTTTAAAAACATGAGTTTGATAGTGTCACTGTTCTATTCCCTAATATGCAGTAAAATAAATATGTAACCATTAAGATAAAGATTGTTCATCTACATCCAACCTCAGAATCATCTTGTGTCCTGCCTGTGGAATGTGGACTATGGTTTGGAGTCCACAGACCATACTCTAAATTTTTGACAGACTCAGATCCTTGATCCTAAAGTAAATATACAAACTCGGGTTTCTTTTGTTCAGTTGACTAGAATTGGGTTCAGATATCGTTAGGTTATCTAGGTTAAAAAATCCTTCACCATTTGTCTATCAGTTTCATGCTATAACACCTTGTTCAGGTG